CGACTGTCATAGTGTTTCGAGCAGAACCGTGGGAAGGAAAAAGTGAAATGGGTTAATGGAAGGTCTAAATGTGTATTGAAATAAACAGCTCACATTAAGGGGGTAGCAAGAACCAAAGAAAGACTGGTTTGTTGTCAAGTCCGGAGGAATTTTGGATAGATCCAACACTCGCACGTTCAGGCCACCTCTCCACGTCATCGCTTTAAAGCTGCCAACTTCACGCGCGTCAGCGAGGATTGTGATCGCTGCTCCGTACCCACCTAAAAACATGACGTTCTGGTGGAGGGAAACTTACACTGAACTGAATGAAATATAGCAATGAGACAGAGGATTTTGAAGAGCAAAACTAGACAGATGATGATAAATGGCAGCATCAGCACGCAATGTGGTCAACCCAACAATAACAATCAAGACCGGGTCGCGATTGAATTCTTGGATATAATCTCTCCTTGTATTAAGTGATAAGAATAATAATAGCAGGAGTGGCGCTACCGTCGCGACTGAAAGCCCGCGACAAAGGGCTAGTGCTGTCACTTAACCGCTGTAACCGCTGCCATTCTTGCAACTGCAACACACGTGGCGCCTGCGCCTCCTCTCGTGTTTTCCTTCCCCTCGTAGCTCTCCAACGAGGGCCGACCTCCAGAACAATTCCAGAGTTTTCTATGGTGTTTTTGCTTTTTCACTAACGTTCTCTTCGCTGAACAATGAACGCATAAACTCTATCGCGATCCGTGCCTATAAACAGGGGTCACAAAGCAGGGTCCTGTGCCGAAATACTAACCAGAATTTAAAAAAAATGATCAAACACTTTTTCCCCATTATGGCTAAACAAACATTGAATAATCGATAACAGCGGAATTACCAAAAATAGATATGGCTGTCCAACACCATCCTTCAACCCTAATTCATACGTAAGAGCATTTCTCCACCTTGCACTGTGCCAGTTTGGTTACTGAAGCCCAGCAATGCAGAGAAAACCAACCTGCCCTTTAGGAACAAAAAAGTCGAGTACAAACATTGAAAACAGTCTAGTCCGAAAGGTGAAAATGGAGGAATCAGAATGGATGACAAAGATGTATTCACGAGTTGAAAGAACAGAACATACTTACAGCAAGCCGCACTGACCTAAGAGGGGGTCTGCTTAGTTGATGTGTGTTTCGTACATAATGGTCCATGGCTCTATCCTTCTAGACTGACCCTCTCTCTAAGTGGTTTTTTTTGATGTAGTACCGAATTTAATGCCAGGAGAAAGACAGCCGGACAGGCGGAGCGGTTTACAAACAGTCATAGGAAGTTCGGGTAAGATTACCTCTGAAAGGAAGTAAAGGCGACATTACGTTTACCAGAGTACAAGCTTTGCAGATC